CACACACACACACACACACACACACACACACACACACACACACACACACACGCAAACTAAAATATGCGTAAAAATCCACTCGCTTTTATTGTTTAAAACGGTTTTATTCTTTTCCCACACTAATTATCAAAACATTTACCAAAAAGTAGTTTTGTCCTTTTAAGAAAGTGAACACACATATATATAATACAAAAACAGAGTTGAATAAAATATGCTTCTAAATAATACAAAATAAGTACTGTAATGAAGGCTTGAATAGCATATTAAACTGGAATTTAAACATTTTTTATGCAACATAAACATAAAAAGCTAATTAACCAAAACCAAACATTTGAGGAAATGTTTCTCATAAAAACCCTGTAACCCTGAGACAATCATCTGAATATTGTGCATTTTTCTGTTCCTAATTTGGCTGTTTTTTAAAATATATAACCGTGCCTACAAATGAATCAACCTCAATTTTAAGAACGTTAAAAAACGCACAATATGGCTACTTTCCTACAAAATGTTTAAACATTTATCGAACTATTTATTCTTCACGTGAGGCTGCGCCGTTTGGTCTTTCTGCTGCTTCTTCTAAGCGCCAGTTTGTGGAACATTTTGGTAACGTGCATATTCATAAATTAGTCTAGTTTTTAGGTACAAAACCCTGTAATATATGTTTACCCTGTAGAAATAAAACCCTGTTTTCTCCAAAAACACACGTCTCTCTCTCTCTCTCTCCTTTTTTTTAAACAAACAGTGCCATGTTGAATGTTTGTTTTTGTACCAGAGAGCTGACAGTCTGACTGTGAGGTTACCAAAACCTGCAATACATTCATGGATTAATTAAAGATGAGACCGGAAATTGATGCAGCCTCCGATTCAACCTGTAAAGAGCGTCTGGAATCCTTCAAAAATAAAAGCATAATGAACAATACGTGAAAGGATTCAAAAAGCTTGAATTTGAAAGCATTACAATTTGCTTCAGGGCTGCGGCCATCTTAACCCGCAACCTCAGTTTTGAAGTCAATTTGACTTTGGCGGCCATTTTCTGCTCCCAATAGTTTTTGTTCATTTTTTTTTAGACACTTATCGCCTCCTTCGCCGTGTCGCTGCTGCTGCTGCTGTTGTTGTTGTTGTTGTTGTCCGTCGCTTTCTTGTTTTTGCTCCTGCCTTTGGTGTTCGGCAGCTTGTTGTCTTTCTTCCAGCGCATGCGCCGGTTCTGGAACCACACCTTCACCTGCCGCTCGGACAGGCAGAGCGCGTGGGCCACCTCGACCCGGCGGCGGCGCGTGAGGTAGCGGCTGAAGTGGAACTCCTTCTCCAGCTCCAGGACCTGCTGGCGCGTGTAGGCCGTCCGCAGGCGCTTCGGCTCCGGGCCCACGTGGTTCGGATTGACTGTGGGGGTGCGCGATCTCGATCCGCCGCCGACGGGTCAGGTATCTGTTGAAGTGGAACTCCTTCTCCAGCTCCAGGACCTGCTGCCGGGTGTAGGCTGTTC